TTTTATCATTATTTGAGATTAAATAGAATATGTTGCATGAGGTATATTTATTTTTATCGGCGAGTAACCGTTACCTATAACCATAAATATTTTAAAATTAGCGACATCAATATAATATAGTTAATAGATGTACCYATACACATACATGTATTGTATTTTTGATTTATTCATATAATAATTTATGTGTGGTGTATATTTCTAAATAAAATACCTAWACATATMTTATGAATTATTATTGATGTATTTGGTATAACTTATATTTATATGTACGGTCCCATACTCCCATTGACTCGCATATGGTACCTAATACCTATGGATCCATAGTTGCGATCTTTATAGGTACCTACGATATAATCGATACTATTTAATATTTATGTAGACAGCACGGTTAGGTTACCACCTAACCGTGGTAGTCAKTAAACTTTAGTAACAAGCGAATGTATACGCACGTATGGCGTGTACCTAAACTTATGCGCAAATCATAGTAAGGCTAGTAAGGCCTTATAGGTTGTGTACCGTGTAATTTATTTTACATCACAYACGTAAAATAATTATTGTCGTTAAAATGGACTTAAAAATGCAATAAAACAGTTTATATATCATGCATACGAATTTTAATAAATTTTATGTTACAATGAAATACTTTTGGATTTAGCAAACTTGATAGCAAATTCGCCAAACTCCTATAGATCGTGTTATAGAAAAAATAACATATTAATATATTACGCAATTTAACATGAGTGTGTGATGTGGACTAAAGAGGACATAACAGGAATTTGTTGTCCCCGTTTTAAAGAACATCATYTGTTTGTACGTGGGTTTTTTTTTTACAATAGTTCAGTTTTTAAGTGAGCGAAGARCATTTTTTAATTTATGCTGTACTTACATATTATATACGAAAAATTTGCTTAAAGTTTGAATTATCGTATWAAGTCCCCTTACAAACACAGATGTTCATAMCATCAAGTTTTATAAGAGACGATTCACTTTAATTTTTTAACAAATGAAGCTACACCTACTACCTACACGTAATCTGCTGAGCGTAAATTTTCTAGGGAAACTTGCAAGATTRGGACGACAAATGGTAGTGTTACGTGTAAGTGTTCWCTGTACAAATAAGAACCCCGAACCGCCTGCAGTTGACACTTGACATCAGACACAGTAAACAATAAAATAAAAATTATGAGGGTGGGTCATATCAATTATAAATATTACCTACGAGGTTATGAAATAGTAAGAATATAATTTTACCATTTTACTATTCTAAAGTTTTACGTTATGGCGTAATGACTTTATTCTTATAATTTATAATAGGTCCTTTTATTACTTAATGGTAATATTCATTYCAATTCTATATTTATAATTTAACACAGTCCTCRGCATCATCAAATATCAAATATTCAGACATAAGTTAATTAGTAAACTCTGAAGTTGGACACAAGTCATTCAATAATGACACTTGTTTAATCATGTGTGAACATACAAATACGATTTTTTTATTTCATAAAATACATTATGTCTTAGGTGTAACTAACAATAAATATAAGTACCTTCATAATAATGAGTGCATTTTTTTTCAACAATTGTAGTTCTATTGAGTGAAAATATATGCGTTTTCCAAGGATAATGTGTGGTTAATTTTGTGCTGATCATTTTTTTTTCAATTAAATACTCTTGACTCAAATAATTGTATACCATGACATAGTTTGCATATCAGACCACAAATTGTTAAATATAATAAAGAAAAAATAAAGGTTTGTGAACAGTATTATTAAAGGTTGTATGTAAATGTATTGCTATTCGTAATAATATTTTATTCATAGCATACACAATACAACGATAAAAAAACTTTTACAATCTATTAATATATCTAGTTTTAAATGTTTCCTGTTATTTGCTAATTTTTTTCTTTTTTTTTTAACTCTTTAAATTTAAATTATATTATTTAGTATGCTGAATTGTGCAGGTATTTTAGACCATTACATTATCATATATCATGTAAATTCTTGAGTAAAATGCAGAAC